TGCCGCTGGGTGTGGGAGCTGCGGGTGTCTCGCCCCGGGCGGGGTGTTAGAGCACCCCCGCGGGTCTCTTGCCTCGCGGCCCGTCCAGCCTGCAAAATGTGTTGATTTTGGGGTTGGTTTTTGGTGTTTTCACTACTCTTGGATTTATTTGTTTTTAGTGACGGCGAGCCGCTAAACTTCAGTTCCCGTGCGTACTCCCACAAAATCTCAGGTGGCTTGTGTTCCGTTGGGTGTAGCGAGAGGTTTGTCAGCGCTCCTCGCAGCCTCTGAAGCGAGAGCCCCGAGAGCAAAATTTTCAGCGTTTACGCCGGAGTGTCGCCCAGGCCTGCGGCCGGGCGCTGCCGGGGGGGCTCCGCTGGCAGCAGCGTGCCTCTCCCCGCTCTGCCCCTGCCGCCTGCTGTTCTGCCATCAAAATCCCGATTTCTGTTAGTCCGTAAGCGTGCGAATAAGATCGTCTGCAGTCTTCATTAGTCTGCCTGTCAATAAATAACGTCTGATTAATTGACTGCAGGACAACCGAAGCGCCCAGCCGAACTTTTCTTGCTTTCTCAGAACTACAGGTACTGGTGAAATCAGCAAGGAGTCCTTTTTGCAGTTTTAAGATTTTAAAAGTCCTAAGAATAAGAGGGCTGACCCCCCTGAAGGTAGGTTTATGCGTGCAGAGAAGGAATGCAGATCACAGGTCGATGACTTGCTGTCAGGTATTACATCTGAGAAGTGAGAGGAGAGCTGCTCAACTCATGGGTTTATATCCTTCACACCCCCTGGGTATGCAGGAAGCTGTTAAGGCAATTTTGTCTTCTAGGAAACATAGCTTGGGCATCTAATGGGCAGGTTGTGTGCTGGTGACTTTTCACGTTGTACCCATAGATTGTAAAATTAAATTAGGAAAGCTTTTCAGTCCCAGTAACAGGATTCTGGATTTTGCATCACTGCACATAATGACACTTCAAGCTCTACGTCGACTGTCCTAGAAAATCTTTCGTGCTGTGGTTCTTACCCCAAGCGCAGTTTTTAGTTGTCACAGATGTAGAGGCTAGCCTTGTTTTAATGTTTAGAATAACTACTTGTGCTGTGACTTTGGACAGTTACAGTAACTCTGCATCCCACCCGACAACTGTGTAGGAAACTAAGCTGGTTTAGTATTACAGTGCAGATTTGGGAGCTTCTGCTTGCTTCAGATTTTTAAGGCTCTGTGCTGTTTGTTTAGTGAAAGCTTTTTCTTTGGTCCCTTCCTAAATGTGTCAA